CCTAATATAGTTATTAATCATGATAGAGAAACTTCAGGGCAATTTCATTTCATTTTTCCACATTTGTATATTGTGACAAAGTGGACCTTATAGTTTTGCAAAAGCTGTGCTACACTAAAAAAAACCCAGTAAGGTTTTGATTAGATGAGCCCTTTAAGTCAGCATTTTCTGACCAAAGTGCTTCCTCAGTTTTCAAAATGAAAAAATATTCTGTTAATATAATAATATTCACACCACTAGTCATGGATATATTTCTACCTTAAAAATATTCTAAAAGTAAAAATTATCATTCATGAGTTTCCCCACAGGCAGCCAAGAGTCACTCAAGAGCTGAGCTGACCAAATATCAAGTTAAAACAATTTTCACTCCATTTTACCATGGACATACTGAAAACCACCAGCTTTAATAGTACAATGAAACTCCTACATTTTAAGTCCATAATAAGATTGAAATGAGTTTACATCTGCATTAGCCTTGAGTGTTAAAAGCATAACAGCTACATACAGATTCCTCCAAAAGAGGGGCAAGGAGTACCATCTAATAATGCAAGAACATTCCTTATGCTGCGCTGCAGTAAGGAAGCACTTTTAAAGTTTACTGTAACATTAGGCAGGCTCTGGCTCTTAGAACCCCAGCTGCTTATTAGCACTCTCTCCTTAAATGTCACCATTGCTATGAAATGACAAATTACTACAAAATCACTTACTATGCAAAGATGGTTCCATTGTAGCCATTCATACAAGATTCAACAATGTTTTTAGCCACACTTGAGAACACAGACTCCTGGGGACAAGGGAAAGAGAAGGTAGTTGGCACCACCTGTTGAAGTATCTTTTATATCAGTGTTTCCTATGCCATAACTTTATGGTATATAATAGATGCATTCCTTAAGGTTAGACATGTACCATGGTCTCTGGAATTCTCAGAAAATCCATATATCTTAAGTCCTTGTGATATAAATCACTCTCTGAAAAAATGGTATTCCTTGATAAACTTGAAGAGAAATAATAAAATTCAGCATCATAGTAACAGCTTCCAAATACATAATAATAATTTTGATCCAGTGGTTTTGATTATGTTATGCAGTTTATACCATCAGTAGGCCAGGTACCTGTGACACTTTAAAATCTAGGTTTCAACATTTGCCACTGCACAATAGCACATTCAACAGACCTGTACAACTTAGTCTCATCTATCTTCCCATTTTTCTTATATCTGCAAGAAGAGCCTAGCTACAAATAATAGCCTACAGCAGGTGAGGTTTTGTTTTGCTTGTTTTTTTTTAAACAGAAATTAAATGGAATTGGGAGTCTTAGCAGAATTTAAATTATGTTCACAATGTCAAACACTACATTATAGAAATTAAATTGAAGGATTTTCTTTCCAGTATTGCTTGCCCCACGTGAGCAATGCATCCATTTAAAAGGCAAAAGCATAAGAAGGAAATATAGTAAATTGAATATAAACGCGGAAGTTCCTTAAATACAAACGTGCAGGGCCAGGATGATCCTTGTGAGTCCCTTTTAACTCAGCATACTCTGTGATTTTGTGAAATCACATCTTAATATCAGCTACTAACTGCCAGTTATTTTTATACATTTGTCTCAATAGGCAGATTTATTTTCTGTGTTGTTACCATGTTTACAAACAAACCTATCAATTTTAATTCAAACTCAAATTAACAGCTAAAAAAAAAAAAATCACATCAAAACCATTAGACAGCAGAATTTAGTGCAGCATTCTGTACTGTAACGACATATTGCCAATCTGACCACTCCAAAAATTAAACCTAATGCACTGCATCTTTAGAAAGGCTTAGCCTTTCTAATGTACTTGCCAAAACTTGGGTGAAAATAGCAGTAGTTATGAGATTCTGGAAACGATTACCTGTGTTGTTTCCATATTTGCAACATAATCAAAAGTGAAGATCTTCGGCTCAGGCTTTGAATGCAGGCGGATGGTATTTGATGAAAGAACAGATAAACACAGGCCATGATCTCCATCGGTCAATGCAGCTCTGTCTGAAGGGGGACGCACCCTTACAAAAACTTTGATGGCATCACCTTCAACACTAAATAAATGTTTGTGTATTAGACTACTTCCAAATAAATCAGCTGTCTGATAAAATTAAATCACAACAATCAGATTAAGCATGAGAAGTCTTACAAAAGTCTGTCTGAAAACCATACTATTTGTAGATGAAATTATTAAAGGTAAAAATGTGGCAGATTTTAAAAACAAAGAACATGCGTTTTATTGATGCGGTGCCTAATTTTAGGTCTAAAAGAACACATTACACAGCGAACATGATATGCCCTTCTTTCTCTTGGAAGTTTTAATGGACCAGTGGATCAGATAATGCTACAGTCCAGCAAAAAAGTTGTTAGCATTTTTCTTTGGTGCTCACAAGACTGGGAAAAAGAATCAATTTTTGATCAATGAATCAAATGAAGCATAGCATCTAAAATATCCCTAACCAATTTCATCACATTTGTCAGCTTTAATAAGTAACTGTGCATGACCCACATAAAAGCTCTGAAGAGTTCTGCCATAAATACCAATACACCCATAAAATATTAAAGAATTAAATTCTTACATGAAGTGGTAGCAAACTTGGATTTACTTTACTTAATTCTTTTCCAAAAGTTTTAGCAGGAGGATATTATAACTGCTATTTTTAGTTTTGGTATACAAGTGAGAGAAAGAGAACAGTTTTAAAAGTGAGGAAGGGTATTCATGAATGAAATGTGCAGTTGGGTAGTGGCAGAGGAAAGGCCTAAGAACATAAGCAGCAGCTGAGAAAGGGAAAATTTTATAATGGATTTAAGACACACCAAATTAATTTGCCAACTGTTCTTTCATTGTACAACATTATTCTGAGTAGTGGCAGTTTACACTTGGAGGGCTTTTTGGTGTTAGTTTAGGGCTTCCTCACAGAACTGAAGTTTCTAGTGTGATATTTCTACATATAAACTCTAGAGTCCAGCTGCAGAATTAGCAGACAAATGAAAATTTATTGCATGGCAGCATTCCAAGAGGAACCCAACATATCAACACAACAGTTTTTTTATGAGCACATTTTATTTTAAGCATGTAAGGATGTTAGGAGAGAAAGGCAGCGACCCTAAGCAGGTAAAGATTGGAAGAAAAAACTTTAAATTATCTCACAAAGTTATGCTAGGTTTTGTTTGCACTTTCTGTGCAATGTGATTAATAATATATGGGAACTAGCCAATATTATTTTACCTAGGTGAGTTCAACAAAGATATTGAAGAGTCACGCAAATCTCCTATAAAAGAAAAGAGGGAGACACAAAAATTAAAATAAAATTACTGCTCAAAACTCCCCACCTAAACAGAAAATACTGTAAGCAGTACAGAGGGAAATAAATGGAGAGACTTATAAATTTCTGCTTTGTGCATGAACAGAACCACATGAAAATATTTGGTAATTATCTTCCTTTGGCAGAAAGATTTGTTACAGAAGTAGAGAAAGCTCCAGTCCTTTAATGTGAAGATGCACACATTTGTCAATGTGTCATTTGTTTAGCCTGGTGTCCTGGTTTAGGACATAGCCTCAAGCTGTGCCAGAGGAGGTTCAGGTTGGACATCAGCAGGAATGTCTTCACTGAAAGGATGAATAGACTTTGGAATGGGCTGCCCAGGGAGATGCTGGAGTCACCGTGGTTGGAGGTGCTTAGAGTGGCACTCAGTGCCATGGCCTGGTTGACAAGGTGTTGGTCAGCTATAGGTTGGATTCCATGATCTCAGAGGTCTTTTCCAACCTCACTGATTCTGTGATTTAGCCTCATTTTGCACAGCTTCATATTTCAAGTAGATAGCACATATTACCCCACAGTACATAAAGTGACTTATTTTTTACTTAAGAGTGAAATCTCACATGAAAGTACATAATAGAATCAAAATATTAACTACGTAACAAAATTGCATTTAGAAAATAGGCAAAATAACAATGAAAGACAAAATATTCCAATAATAAAGTATCTATAAAATCTTTAAAACCACAGGATTTTTTTGGTAGGAGGATCGCCTTTAACAGCAGAATGAACAATGATGTGCAAAGATGCTAACCTTCTCTTTGACATTCATACTACTTAAATATCCTGCTGCTGCTGCATGAGCTTTTTACGAGCTGTTTTGACTTACTCGACATCTGAGAAGTAGTTTTGCTTCTAATTAAGTAAATTATTCTTCAATTGCACAAGTTATCAAGGAAAGGAGCGCATTTAAAAACCGAAATCAGACCGACAGGTACTTGCAGAGCTCAGGGAATAGCCTGAAGTTGTGTCAGGGGAGATTTGGGCTGGATGTTAGAAAAAGGTTCTTCACTCCGAGGGTGGCTGGACATTGGAACAAGCTCCCCAGGGAAGCGGTCACAACACCGAGCCTGACAGAGCTCAAGAAGTGTTTGGACAACGTTCTCGGGCACACGGTGTGACTCTCGGGGACGGTCCTGTGCAGGGCCAGGACTTGGACTCAACGATCCTTGTGGATCCCTTCGGACTCAGCTTAATCCGTGATTTTGGGAAAGGGCCGACCCCCAGGTACCGCGACAGCGCCGGGGCAGCGCTCTGTCCGGGGCACCGCAGGGCGGAACCCCGCGGAACCCCGAGCCCGCCTGGGAGGCACCGAGCCCCCGCACGGCCGCACCGGGCCCCTCTGGCTCTCCCATGCGGGTAATGCCCCGCCAGGCCAGAGCCGCTCCTCAGTCCCCGAGGCCATCCCGGTCCCCCCTCGCTCCCCGAACCAAGAGAACATCCCCAAACCCTCTCCCGGCCGCCCCCGCTCACCTCTCACGCCGGGACCCATGGTCACTCCAGCCCCGACAGCTCCCGCCCGCCCGCCGCTCCAAAATGGCGGCGCCTTTGAATTTGGCGCTCAGCGGCGCGGCCCCGCCCCCTGCCCGGGCCAGCGCGGGCGCCGCCATTTCCCTGCGCGCCTGCAGCGCCCCCGGGCGGGGCGGGGCTGCTCGCCTCCCGCCCGGAAGCGCGCGCGGCGGCCATGAGCAAGAGGAACCAGGTCTCCTACGTGCGGCCGGCTGAGCCCGCCTTCCTCAGCCGCTTCAAGCGGCGGGTCGGGTACCGGGAGGGTCCCACGGTGGACACCAAGGTAAACCCCTGGCCCGCGGGTGGGAAGGGGCAGCGCCCGCTTCCTGGCACTTCCCGAGCCTTTATGCCCGCCCATCCCCGCCCCCTGCCTTCTCGCGTGGCGAGCGGCGGGGAAACAGCATTCCAGGGTTTTGTAATGAAAGGGGGAGCCGTAGTTTACTCGCTTAAAACTGACTGAAATCGTCTGTGTGACTTGGTTTTCCTCCTGTGTTTTTTTCTGCAAGGCTGCTGTGGCGGCCTTGCGGAGCTGCCGCCTCAGCCTCGCGGTGCCCGAGGGGGCTGTGGGGGCACGGGGGGAGCAGCCGTGATGTCCGAACTTCGGCTGGACTTTAAAAAGCCCAGGGCGGTGGAGGACGGGGGCGGCGTGCAAAAACTGTTCTAAAAGTACCCTAATTTTTTTTTATTGGAAAGGAGTTAATATGGGTTCGAACTGAAAGAGGGGGAAATTTAGGTTAGATATGTAGAAAAAAATTCTTGACTGCGAGGGTGGTGAGACAGGTTGCCTTGGGACATTGTGGGTGCCCCATCCTTGGAACTGTTCAAGGCCAGCTTGGATGGGACTCTGAGCAGTCTGCCCTAGTGGGAGGTGCCCTTGTCCACGGCAAGGGGGTTGGATCTTTAAGGTGCCATCCAACCCAAAACATCTTGCTGTAGGTCCCTGGTCATGAACCGTGTTGTGATGGCTGCAAAAGCAGGGTCTGAGCCAGCTTGTTAAAAAGCAGCCTTTCCTAAGGCACAGGTTTTTCCTGCTTCTAATGTGATTTTGTGTGTGTTTCCCTCTAAGTACGGTTTTACAGGGTACCTTAAAAAATTAGCTTATCATTATATATATATATTCAGTAGATGACAGTAATACTGCATATACTTTCCCTTACAAAACAAAGTTTTCAGGTCCTCTAATATTGCCAGACTTCAGGTTGCTGCACTAAGGTTTCCTTTCCAGAATCTTTATTTTAAAAAAATAAAAAATTACCCCAGTTGATTCTCCTGTCCCAGTACACGTTTGAGGGAGTAGAAACAGGAGTATGATCTTCCTTGTGTCAGTGCTGCTTACAGAGATTTGTTTAGCCAGGTTTAATAATGCAGCCACCATGGACCAACATTTCCCTTCGTGCTGTTTTGACTGCAGCATAGAAGGTTCAAATTTGGACCCATGCAAAAAAGCTTCTTTTAGTGTTGTATAGCAGACAGTGGCTGCATAGTCAAGATGGTGAAGAAAAGGAATTAATTCCTTGCTTTCCAAGTTCCTGCTGTTCTGGTCTCTAATTGATGGAGCCCATACTCCCATGCTGGTGTTTTCAATGGGAAACCATATCTCAGTGATAGAATTTGAGATGTCTCAGTGATAGAATTGGAGACTGATTTGTTGGAGAGACAACACATTGGGAGGGCCTGGAACTGGCAGCTGTGCCAAGTCTCCTCACTAACCTTTCTGCAAAAGTGAAACCAAAGGGAACTGGCCCACAACTGGAGTGATGATCAGAATGGCTTTTATTTCTCTTTTCTCCAGAGAGAACAGCTTCCACTTGCAGATGATGACAGTGACAATGGCAGTGACAAGGAAGACGAGCAGCCTCAAGTTGTGACACTGAAAAAAGGGGACTTGACTGCAGAGGAAGCAATGAAAATAAAACAGCAAATCAAAGAGGCCTTAAAGTCAAAAGAATCAGGTGAATTTCAAATACTAATTTCTTGCTTTGTGTAGTCAAAGAGATAACCCACAAAAGAGGGTCTGATACTTGCTCAGCTTTCTACTGTTTTATACTACCTTTGATTAGTTCTGAATTTTTCACCTAAATAATTTGCACTTGTGGTTCCTAATCTCAAATCGTTAAGTACATATTCAGGCTATCTAGCTTTTTATACTGATGTAGTTCTGTGCTTCTTGATTGTGCACCATCCTCCCTCTAAATACTCCCTTAAATTAATTTTTTTTACTGTACTATTCCAGTGCATCGTCTTTTGACATCATTTGTGATAATTTTTGAACTCACTGACTAGTTCAGCCAAATTTGACAGTGGAGTGGATGTTTAAAAGGTAATTGTATGAGTTCATGAAAGAGAGCATCAGGTCTGTGCTTTGGTGGAAAGAATTGCAGATGTGTGGCTTGGGAACATTGGGAACTTAGCTGGGTGGTCCATGTGATCTCTTGCTTAAAATCAACCCCAGTAGGTGCTATGACTTGCAAATATATTAAGCAAGATAAACAGATGATACAATAGTGCCAAAAAAGACCAGCAAGGTCCAGAAAAACAATGTTTCTATATCACAAACAGTTACAGATTTCCATTCCACAGAATGGAAAGATGGAAGCGGTGTGGGAGGGACTGCTGCAGTTTGACAATAACAATGAGAAACTACAGCTGATGGATACAGTTATGTTAAGAATTTTTCTCAGTATTCATCATTCAGGTATGATTGACATAAATGCTTTGAGCGTCCAGAAACTCAATCATTACACAGGGTGTGATGAAATATAGCTTTATCTTTTGCTGACAGAAGACTTGACAGATTGAATGTAGCTAATGTTGTCTCTAGTGGAAATGTCTTGACAATTAAGAATATAGGAACTGGAACCTCACAAGTATAAAATAGAAAGGTAAATCACAGAAATGGGATGTCTTCTGTGGTTAGCCATTACAGCTATTTACAAAAGCTGCCAATTGAATTTGGAGCACACTGTGAGACCTAGCACATGGCTGCCAATATGACATGCTTAGCTTCTCTCTTTGTCTGCCATTTGGATTTGAAAATTCAGGTTTATGCTGTCTCTTTGTAGACATACGTATTAAAATCCCAATGGTCTAAATGGAGGAGTCAGTAACAGAAGTGGGAGAAAATATGTTGAGAATCTTGTATTTTTTGAAAAGCAGATTGTTGAGAAATCTTAATTTTTAATAACATAAGTTAGCTTGAAACTAAATAAACTACATCCTATTTTCTGCAGGTAGGTATGTATTTGTTAGGTCTGAGCAGGTATATGACTTGAACTCCTCTGAGAATATATGCTCAGCTTTGGGCTTACTTCTGGTGTCTTGTTATTGAAGTGTAATGCATACAGATGCTTGGTGTCGCAGTTTCTAAAGTCCTCACAAAATTTCTTTTCACCCTCCTGGTATTGGGAGAAGTTTCAACTTATTGGAAAGAAATGTCATGGTTCTTTCTGAGCATTGACTTCCTTTTCATATAAGCAACTTGAACTTTGAGTGATCACAGTAGGGGGAAAAATGGTTTTGTAAGGCTGGGCAAAAAGAAGTAGTTGTCCATGAGAATCTATTGAGGTGGAGTCCATGCTGTGAAAAAAGTCCAAAAGAGCTACCAAGCTGAATACACAGTGTGAAATGGAAGTGTATTTGAATAGAGTGACTGAACTTATTTGGTGGAAAAAGACATTCCTAAGACATAATTGTATGTAGTGAGGATGGCAGTATTGAGTCCCTGTAGGACTTAGTCACCTCTGCTTATTACCCCTTCAGCCCTTCAGTAATAACTTGAATTTGGAGGAAAAAATCCACAGAAATAGGTAGCAGGAGTGTTGGGGACTGCTGCCCTCTGTTCTGCATTATTGTATTACTGTTCATTCATCTGCCTTTGCAGTTAATACAAGGTCTTCGTGTCCTTTTCCTTTTTATGGCTTATGGGAGTAAACAGGGTAAGTGCTACTGTGTTCCTCTGCTGTGGAGAGAAGCCAGTGTGAAATTTTCAATGAAGGGAGGTGTGTATGACTGTGCTACAACTTGCTGGAGGCTTTTATGCGTTTTGGGCCATTTTTGCACTGTCAGTCTGACCTAGATTTAAATTTTGATTTCTAGTCTGAGGCAGGTATTTAGATAGCTGTTTACCCCAGTTTAATAAAGAGAGTTTTGAGTAACATGTGAATTTCTTTTATTATTTTGGCTGTCAGTTCTGAGAATAAGAAGTATAAAAAAAGTTTGGTGCTTCATGACTTGGTTGCATTTCATGTTGCTTTGATTTTAATCCCAGAGTTGAAAGTCAGATTATTTAATGGCTACTAGACCTTACTACAGAGTCCCAAATCAGATCATTAGTGAAATTGCATGAAGTTAAAAAGGTAATAGGAAAGTAAATTTCCCATCTGATAATCTTACTTTCCAGCATGCATCAATGCTGAGACACTTTGATGGAACCTAAGAAGTGTGCTACTAACTGTCTGTTGTGGGTACAAACAGTTTTTTAAAACATGGCAAGTGCTCAGTTTTGAGGTTCTGCCCTCTTCTCTTTTATACTTGTAGTGATTGTCTTCATTTGAAGGACCTTGTCTTAAGATTTAGGATTGTGATAATACTAGAATTTTCCATATCTCATTTACATACTTTCTCCTTTGTTTTCTTCTATAACCATTTTGACATGGCTACAGTTTTTGTTTGTTTTGGTTTTGTTTATTTTTAATTTTAGACACCAGATGTTCCCATGACTTGCATTTTCTTATATAGATGCACATTTTTGCATTCATCTGGTAAAACCAGCTGATTAATGTCCTAGCTGCATTTAGTTGCTTCCTAAGGCAGAACAAATCCTAGCTTTTCTGTTGGCTTTTGCAAGTAGAGCTACAGGGATCTTTTTTAATTTAGGACCAAACCTTTCTTATATAAGAAGATGCCCTTCTATATTGAAATACTTTTCTCCATGGAGCAGAGACTCAGAGGCTTTTTAAAAAGTAGTTTGTTTATCAACACTGATTTTGCTTCATGTTTTATGCATCATTTAAAAAATTGTCAGTGTTGGTTCAGAGACAAAGAAAAATGGTCTTATGAAAAATTAAATTTGCACAAAAGAAAATATGTGAATTACTGCAAGATATCCCAGCATTTGTTACAGTCTGTGAAATAGATTTTGTTTTCTACTGCTTATCTACTTCATATGGCCTCTGGGACAATCTGACATGCAAATGACCGAATTTGGCAAAAGGTGTCCTTTCTTGTTCAAAGCCTTATAATATTTTTCTTGTTTCATTCTACATGCTGGGTTCTGGGGAAGGACAGTAGAGGGAAGAGACAAGGAGTCCTTGCTGTCTTGGCTATTGGAGCCCTTTCTGAATAAGCACAGGCTGTTCTGATTTAAGCAGCTGTTCTGTCAGATACATCTCACAGAGGTAATGCTGCTCTTCATCATATGTGAAATAGCAGGAACCTAAATCAAAGCTAACTTTGCTGTATTTAAGGAAGGAAAAGTGTTCTTATAAACAGCTGAGACTGACTGCAGAGCAAGAGTGGCCTTCTTACCTTCAAACCACCAGTGTGCCGAGTTCCTGGATTAAATGCTTCCAAAGGCATGCATAGAGAATGGATGGCTAGAAGGCACTGGAAGGAGCATCTGAAGTGGCTGACATGAACTTCTAACCTTAGAAACCATTAAGAAATTTGCCAGGTTATTGTAATTTTTTTCCTAACCTTCTATCTTTAAATAGATATATATGGGCTCCATTGTTCCTGACAGTTTAGTGGCATTTGTATTTCCTGTTGTTGCCTCATTGACCCATGTGGACAGAAACTGCTGAGAAGTGGTGCTGCTGACTACACAAATGACTATTAAATAAAAAACCCTCTAAACTGAAGAGCAGCATTTCTTTTTCAGACCCTCATTTCTGCTCTTATTGTAATGTATAAATTGAAATTAAAAGAAAAGAAGAAATTTCTGACTTTGTGGTTTCTTAAATTGATGTCACTTGTGATGTGAGTTTTCAGCTCAACATCTGACTGTTGGTCAACTAGTGTAAAAGTGTGATCCAGTTAAATAGCAGCAATGACTAAGAACAGTGGGAATTCGAACCACTAGTGTAGTTTTTCGACTCATTTGTCAGAAGTGGAATTTATTATTTGTTGTGCTTTTATGTATTTTATGTATTTTACTTTGTGTGTTTCAGTGTGCTTACCAGAAAAGAAATCCCGCTTTCCATAATTTGTAATACTAACAGAGCCTTTATTAGGACTCTGTTTTAAAAACTTCCAACACTGAGATTGTTTCTTTAGTCTTTTTATTTTTTTATTTTTTTTCATTGCTTAATACAAGTCAGTTTTTTGTAGGTCTTTGATACAAACAAAAAAGAGAGCTGACACATATGAACCTGGTAAAATTACAAAGAATAAAGTGAAATCTTTTTATCAGCTGGAAAAGACAATCTTAACAAATCAACACAAAATTCTTGAACTGCTATATCAAATTCTTTCAAAAAATGTATTCTGTCCTCACTCTCTCCACATGTAGGTAAGGTAAGGCTAGGCCTACTGTGTTTCCTCATCTGCTTCATTCTTTGTCAAACAGTGCCAACACACACTGCTCTCTGAAGCTGGTCTGGGCTTCCAGCTGAAAGGAATGTCCTTGAGCATATAATGAAATTTTGACAGTGTTTAACCAGGCCAAGAGCTAAAATAATTTCCTTTGAAGCAGAATGACCTGTGAATAGTATTGTAGCCCTGGAGGTCAGAGCTGAGCTAGTTACCATTTTGGTGGAGTTTTTGAGCTTTGCTGTTTGTGCCCTTAGCTTACTGCATGTTTAAATTCATATTGCAAAGATACTTTTCAGTCTTTCCATCTGGTTGGCAAAATTAAATTATTTTGTGTGGGTAGCAGGACAGTTGTGAGTAAAATTAAAATTTCTGTTCTCTGTTTTTCCATGGATTACAAATACATAGCTGTTTTTCTGTTTTCTTTTATGGATATGCTTTGAACTACATTTTTGAGGGGTTAGGTTTTTAAACTTACCACTCTAAGAAAATGCAGTAATCTGTTTGTTATAGAGTGTTCAATGGGTTTTGATTTTTTTGCTCCTCATGCTTATCCAGTAGCTGGTTGTGTCATTTCAGCAGCGATATGGGTACTGGATACAGTTGGCACTCCGACTGGCTCCAGTACATAGACAGCTGTGTCTGCACATAAGGGAAGTTCTTGTAAGTTGTTTTTCATTTGGTTTGTCAGTTGTTGTTTTTTTTTTCAGAATTTGGCTTATACTGTGCCTCAGATCTTGTTTAAATTAGAATATCTGTGTTTCCAAATAAACATTGTAGTTAATGCAACAATTAGTAAAGAAAAATATTTGCTATTAAACTTCTGAGCCCAAAAATGGAGGCCCAGGTTCTGAGAAAAATGATGCATAGCGTATTCTGATTCATTAGGTGTGATATGCTTTCAAGAGTTCTATTTCTGTCCCAAAATTTACTGTAGGCAGTTCCCAAACTTCTATATTGCATGTACAGTATCTAAATACCTAAGCTTTCTGTGCAAAGTTCACAATGGATCCATTGAGAACTGTGCTTTTCATATCTACAGTTTATTACTGCTGCCAACTCCTTGTAACTACAGTGCTTTTCTAATGTGCTAAGTCTGAAGTATTTCTCCCCAAACCTAGTTAGTTATTTTTTGCATAGTAGTATTTTGTCATAAACTAGGGTAGAATCATAAAATCAAGGAATTGTTTAGTTTGGAAAAGACCTTTAGATCCATATGAAGCCCCACTTACTAACCTTGCACTGCTCTGTTGCCATTAAACTATGTTCTGAAGTGCCACGTGTTCTTTGAATGCTGCAAGGGATGGTGTTTTCGCTACTTCCCTGGAGAACTTGCTCCAATGCCTCACTACTCTCACAGTGAAGAAATTTTTCCTGGTATGCAATCTAAATTTCCCCATGTTGCCATTTCTTGTCCTATTACCTGGGAGAAGAGACTGATGCCTACCACACTACAACCTCCTTTCAGGCAGTTGCAGAGAGATGAGGTCTCCCCTGAGCTCCTTTTCTCCAGTCTAGACAACCCTGGGTCTCTCAGCTGCTTCTCAATAAGACTTGTGCTCCAGCTCATCACCATATGCACCTTTTGGAAGTATGCATTCCATAGAAGCCATTGACAGAATTGGTGCCTCATTTTTCAAACTAGGTTTCTTCTTTAAGAGGGTCTCTGAAACTTAAGGCATTCTATGTGAAATTTCCCACTGAAGTTGATGTCTTCATTTGTACCACACAACCCTAAAGATACCAGGTTTTTTAGTTGTATTGTTTTGAGATTGCACTGAAGAGAGTTTTAGCCAGTGCTGTGTAGATAACACTGAAATGTTAAGTCTTCTGCTGTAGTGCTGATGTACTAAGGAAAGAATTTTAGCTAAAGAGAAAAGTTATTTATTGGTTATAATTAAATAGCACATAATCTTGTCAAACACATTTCTGTTGAGTAATGAATTTCACAAAAGTAATTTAGGAAGAATATCTTGCATAGAACCTATGGCTTCTTAACATTCTGTCACATAGACATTATAAAAATTGCAAACTGCAGCATGAACCTTTGTGTCTGATTCATGACTTTACAATTATACTTTATCTTTCAGAAATACTGCCCTGATTCTGTGACTTATGCAGTAGCTTTCCCACTCTGCCTGATAATCATGGAAGGGATTTCTCTTGTTTTCAGGATTGTTGTCTGCTCCTCTGCTTGTATTAGTGCAAAATTAGTCAGTCGGAATAGTTGGATGATTTTGTGGATACAAAGAAACCCTGAAACTTTCATCCATTATGATAATAAAGGGGAGGTTTATTACCACATGATCTTTTCAGCTGTCTCAGCAGGACAGAATATATTAGGGAAAAAAAAGTTTTTCTTGTATATGTGCCATTTTGTTATTTAAAGAGATGCCATAATTCCGAAATAAGGGCATTTGTTGTCACAAATTTTACAAATACTGAAGCAGTGTGAGAGGATCCTATGAAGTTGTCCTCTCTGTTTTGGTAAGTGGATGTGAACGGAATGTGCAGCTCTACTCCTCACAGTCTCTTCTGAGTTAGAGCTCTAGTTAATAAAACCCCATTTCCAATAGGAACAGCAGGAGGATTGTGTTCAAGGGCTGGCTGCCGTGGAGCAGGTGCATGTACAGGAAGGACATTCATTGATACAGTTTATGGCCAAAATCTTCATGATTGTTGTATTCTCCCAGAGGTCCCACTGATTTTGGTTCAAGGTCTGTATGTGTTTGTGAACATGTGCATATGAGTTCTGACTTTACTCTCTTTGTTACAGATGATGAACCAGAACCTGCTGATGGAAAAATTATGTTCAGGAAACCAGCCAAACGTTCATCAGAGAAGTGTTTGGACTTCAATGTAAGTTCAAGTAAGAAGATGAAAGAAGCAAAGAAAACTAAGAGGGAAGCAACTACTTCTCAGAGTACAGCCAAACAAGTAAAAAACAGCAGTCTTCTCTCATTTGATGATGAGGAAAATGATGATTAGGGGTTGTATTTTTTTATGCTTCACTTGCCTGCCTGGAGACCTGAACAACATTGAGGGCTTTCATAGAAATTGAAGCATGATGTCTTGAGTCTTATCTTACTTTATTATAGTCCAGCTAGTGAAATATTGTATAAAGTTAGCAAGAGCTAAGTCTTTTCTTTCCAGTAAGTTGGAACTGTCTGTCATGTCTTTATTTTAAAAGAGAGTTTAACCATGTAGGTAAAAGCTATTTGAGGTCACAAATGTGTAGCAAAATATACCTGTATATGTTCAGCTTATGAATTTTCAACCAATTTTAAAATGCCCTCCATTACTAAAATGTATTTCTTCTATATTGAATAGCCTTAGTTAACAGTTGTGTAGTTTTTACCTGTTGTCCTGAGGTGACTTTATGATCCTGGTATCCCCAATCACCTGGTTTATGTTACATATTAACATATTATTGACATTCAAGAGACACTTCATTGCTATGAAATAGAGACTGAAGTTTTCTGTCTCACACCTTAACAAAAGTTTGCATGACCTTTGCATTTGTGATTTGCAAGATTAGCTCTTTGCAGGGCCTTGCAGTAAATGAGGCTGCAGTTGCTAAAGTCATGTAGTCTTGATCCTGTCTTTGGTGAATGCAGTCTAAGAAATTCAAATTCATTTGAATTGGTTGTGATAGCAAGGTACAGCGATTTTTATTCTAGTTGATGGTATCAACTAATGCTAAAGAAGCCATTGGAGATTGTGCACTTTGGTTTTCACACTGATGGACTCGGTGATTTGGTGGTGTTTTGGGGTTGGTTTTTTTTAGTATATTTATTCCAGTTGACTACTTATGTTCTCATAATAAGTTGAGATCTCAGCTTGTTTAAAAAACTGTATCTTACCTTTAAGCTGTGGAAAAGCATTAATTTAGTAGGGGGGAACTTGTAAATAGGGAATTTAAGCCAAGCAACACTATAGCTGTGTGTGTCTTGGTTTAAGACAGTTTCCAGGGCAGACACTCCAAAATGAGTTACTGCCCCTTTTAGTTTTAACTGCTTTCCTTTCACCAATAAGCAGAGATGAAAGCAAGAATATTTAAGTGAAAAAATAACAGTTTAATAAAAAATGAAACAGCAACTGAAGGATAACAGTAATCATCAGATAAAAAGGTGCTGAATCCCACGGACTGCTTGGGAACAAAGACAACAAGATGGCAGAGAAACCCCTCTCCAAAAATGTTGGCCTCCATAGAGCACGTGGTCCAGGGGACAAAGACAAGCTGGTGGAGAAACCCCTTCTCCTGACCATGTGGTGGAGAGAGAACAAAGGGAAAAATAACATCACAGCATCTGAAACAATCTGATTATAAAAGTCTGTCTTCCACCAAACAGCAACCAATGATGAACAAGGACAAAACATGAAGAAACCTGGACTCCAAAACAGTCAAATTCTGCTGATCCATTTGCTCCACATCACCCAGCAGGGTCTCTCTCCTGGCAGTGGCAGCTGCTCCATCAACAGTGGCAGCTGGAACTGGTCAGTGGCTGGAACTCATGGAGGGACTTGGCCTCCTCCTCAGCAGAAAATGACAGGCAGATGCCTGGGGCAGCCTGGACTCTGCGCCCTTCTTCTTTAGCTGAGGGCTGCTGTGGGGGCTGGAGTGACCGTATGGAGCAGGGGCTGTTTCTTTTCCCAGTTGTGGTGCCATGGCTGGTCATCCTGGGTGAAAGCAATGAAAAAGGAAGGAAGGAAAAAAGGTCTGAAGAGAAAGTCCTCCCTGGCCCAGAGACCAGAACAAATGGGAGCTTCTGCCTTGCACTGCCTCAGCTTCTCAGTAGCTAGTGGGAACGAAAGAGAGGCCTGTGTCAGTGTTGTCCTACTTTTAAAGGGATCCTGGCGTCCCCTGCCTCCACGAACCTGGGGCAAGACCCTCTGGTTCTGACCCCTGGGTCTTGAAGGGAGAGTAATAATCTTGGGAAGATGAGCGTAGAAAGAAAGTGATCATTTCAATACCTTTCCTGTAACAGGACAGAAACAACACTGAGAGCTGATGGGATTTGGGAGAACAAGGTGGTGGGAATGTGACTTATGACTTTGAAATTAGATTGGGTGTATGGTGTTTTCTGTAACCATATGAAACTAGTTCTGCTGCATGACAGGACATTTGAAATTATTTGGCCTGTAAAGCTTCATCGAGGAGCAAATTTCAAGTTGCTGTGTGAAACAGCTGGTTTTAGTTTGTTCATCTGGTAGTAAACAATAAATTATGTTTTCTTTTAAGTGGTCCAAAGATATTTTAATAAAAACTTCAGTACATGAAATGAGGTTTTTTTTTTGCCACCTGATATTAGAGCCTCCTGTACCTGCTGCCTGTCTCCCTACACACCAGCTTCCTGCAGCATAACATCAGATGCAAGTCTGCACACAGTTTCACACTGTTTGTGTGAGTACGTTACCCTGATTTTGAAAATTAATAGATCTGCTGTCCTTTGCAAAAATTGAAACCAAACCTGTAAATGGATATTAAAGTCTTGTTGCACTGGTCTCATATTAGAATTGTGACAGAAGTGCTGTGTGACAAGCTGATTATTCCCATGAGGATGTGCTACATTTGTAAATATGTAATTTGTCTGCATTTCATATAGAAGATGAAGAAATTTAAAGAAGTACAGAACCAAAGCTTCTCAGGGATTAGTATTCCCTTTTATTTTGTATACTTAAAACTTATTGGAATCCATTAAAATATATATATACACACATACACACCCATGAGTAATCTTGTAGCATTCCAGCATACAAAAGGAATATTAGGGCATATGTCAACAATGAAGTAGATACTCTGACTTGCTGAGACTCATCTAAAAGAATGAATTAACCACTGGCTGCTTACTTAAATTTTTCAGGTTCTGTTTGTCAGCACAGAAATACATTTGCTTACATTTTTCTTGCACAACCTGGAAGCTCATGACTTGAGCTGTGAGGCAGTTTAGGAGGCATGGCTGTTGAGATAAGTGCTTGACAAGGACCAGAGGGTATTTGGTTTTACCTAAAAATTAGAGAAACTCTCACAAATACGCAGCTGATCTGGCCTGTTCAAAATAAGTTTGAGATCTTGTTTGATTCTGGATAGTTTTGCATTCAAGCAAAAGTCACCATTTTTAGTGAAGCACTTGGGAGACTGAATTCCAGTAAAGTGAGGGTTACCTTAAAGTATGGAGTGCAGTACTTTTCCTTAGTCATGCTTCTAGCTCTACAACCTCATGACGGATGTCTGGAATGCAAATAAATTGACTGAGTTTACTTGGAAATAATAAATTGAAAGGTATGTTGTTTAGGCAACACAGCAGGGGAAAGAAAGGTGGATGCGGAAACCCAGTTTCTTCCCTTTATTCCGACTGATTTGTAGTGCTCTGACCGGGAGGAGACCTTTGTATTCATTGTATTTCACTCCCAGTTCACCTAACAATAACTAATTGAATAGATTTATTAAGGGGTGTGAGTGATGCACAAAAGCATTTTAATCAGGTAGTCATGTAAAAATTCAGTGTTTTTACCATGACACACCAGGAAGAACACACACACTATCAACTCCCCATGGAACCCATGATTAAAGAGAACAATTATTTGTTCATTTGGAAAGAAATGTGAAATGCTTAAGCAATCACCTGTCCTAATGGGCCATGGGAAAATAATAACCAGAACTTTCTTATAAAGGGGAAGCCAAAGGTAAGTACATGGAACATGAGGCTAGGACAGGAAAGGACAATTTTCCTGAGTTTTCCTTCTCTCTTGCTTGCTCCCAGTCCCAGTCCTTTTCCCCTCCTGTAGTAATGTATATGCATTTCTTTTCTCATGGAGTTTGTCCAGTTAAATGTGAGAGCAGTGCTGGAGGAGCAAGGTGAGAGTAGCTAAGGCTCGTTACCCAATACAGGAATCTTGGTCAGATGTGTCCTGTTACCTCACATGGGAATTTTGTACAGCTTCTATTAATAAAATACTTGAAATTTCCCAATTGATTGAGACTAAAACATTTATCGATGGTGTTAGCTGAGCAGTAAGGTATAACAAATCTGGTGAACTGTAGTAGCATTGCAGCAACAGATGCATCTAATGAAGGCTTTTTACACTGCAAAGGTGCTTGGATGTGAGTAGGAAAGGTGAGATGCTCTGTCACCTTAATTTCTTTTGAAGAACCAGGATCTTTCTCTAAATGACAGGAATCAAGGTGAATCATCAAAAATGCTACATTCTTGATAGAATGAGCAAGAAAATGCACATGTGGGCAGGTGGCCCAGGAGTTCATACCTTTGGTTGTATTTCTGAAATACAAGCAAATTTGTTGTACTGCAAAAGTTCATTTCATTGGCCTAAAGAGGAAAGGATGAGTCAGAATTCTATTCTGATAGTTTTTTTGTCCAGCACTTTTCCTAGAAATATCATTTGGAGGATCAAAGGCTGTGTTTTGCAGACACTGAGCCTGTAAGAAAAAGCCTGTATTTAGCAGTTTTAATTACACATTTTTAAAGTTTCATCACAGGACTTTATGTCCTTTTTTACAGTGCTTCAGTATATAATCCTGTTAGAAAGCTGCAGATTTAAAATTAAGCAGGAAGCAGCAATGTCATCGTTTCAGCTGATTGTTTCCCTTATGCTGTAGTGTATTAACTAAGTAATGCTTCAGTTGGCTGTGCAGAGCCAACTGCGTTCTCAAGGACATCAGGCTTGCCTGCAGATGAGTCATTACCTTTTGAGCAGCACAAGAGGTATGATGTGCAGCCTCAGCAAGTGTTTGTCCGTTGAAGTTGGTTAATAACCTATAGGCCTCTCCTGTGGCAAGATGCCATAAATCAATCCTTTGTGCATTCAGCAAGCGGAAAGGTTGGTGTATCAGCTGCCTCTTCAGTGTCATGCCTTTATTACCATTCCTAGAGCAAGGTGCTAATCTGCAAAGACATTTTTCATGTTGTAGACCTTCCCTTCTACCCCACTTCCTTCAGAACATTTCACAGGCAGCAGTCGCAAAGATAGCCATTAAAACCAAGGGAGACACACCATAGGGTTATATGTGACTGCAACCTCCTGTAGACTTCCTCAAGGTATTAAGAACCTATAAATCTCAGAGCCAGCCCCTGGGAAGTAACTTCCTCCTGGGAGAAACGAATGGGACCAGTCAGGAAAATCACACAAAATTGAATTTTACTGTTATTTACCTCACTGTTAACAAATTTTTTGTTGAAGGTAAAGTAACAGCTGGTAAAGCAGTTCTTTCCCTCTTATCAGAAGTGGCTTTGGTGCCATTCTAATCCATATGGCAAAGGGTTCCTTTTCCTTGACTCTGGTGGCAGTCCTCAGTGCCATGCCTGATTAGTTAAGGCCGTGGGCAAGAGGGAGCTACCTTGTAAGAGGCAGAAGTTATTAGAGGAAGGTGTTGTCAAGCCTCTGTAGGATAACGGTGATCACTGCACACTTTTAGTTTTGATATCATGAAAGAGTTGTTCCCTTAGGGACAGCACAGTAACAACGAACTTTAAAAGGGCAGATTATAAAACTATGAGGAAAATGGTTAACAGCAGGCTGAAGGGCAAAGAGAAGTACTTAAAAACCATAGAGATCTGCCTGGAGGCTATTTAAGAACATTGTATTAGAGGCACAGATGGTTTGTATACCTCTGAGCAAAAACAGCCTATGAGGAAGGATGAAACTCACAGGGTTACGTGGGAGAAAAGCGTGAGTATAGAAAGGTTGAAATGCATCCCTTAAAGATGACGACTGTCTGAATGACAGATGAGGGAATGTTACCAGGAGAGTGGAGAGAGCTGGAAAGTCAATGATAAGGAAAAGACTATAGCAGCTGCTGACTCTGGATCCCCAGGATGAAACACTGAAAATAGAAAGTCTAATAAAGTCCAGACCACTCTGCCTCTGAAGACTGGGCAACTCCAGATGAGACTTAGCCAGAAAAAGCAGCATACTGTTAATCTGAGTCAGCTAGCACAAGCCAAAATCTTAATAAAGAAGTCTGCACTTTTTTACCAGGTCAAATTTAAGAGTAAAGGAGTCCATTCAATCATAGTTACTCTATGCTAGGACTTTATTTTGACCTTGTTTTTCATACAGTTCCAAAAATGCTTTCAATCTTTGCTGAAGAAGGTAAGAGATTAAGAAAATGAATAGTCCTAAAATCTCTGATTTTATTAGAAGAAAAAACCCTAGTAAAAGAAAAATCCCTACCTGTTCTGACACAGCTTAGTAGCTGAGAGAGAGACTATCTGATAAGGATGACGTGAGGTTTGCACAGCATTTTTACACCAATCTGTAATTGGACAGGTGCAGAATTTTATTGTTGTACATCAGAACTAGAACACATTGGTTATAAACTAGACAGGGAACATCTCAGATATCACAAACCTGATGATGTGTGCAAGAAGAGTCCCTGTGAAATCAATGAAAGCTATTTTCTATTTTAAAACCAAGGAAAGGGAGGGGAAGGTTAGAACAACTTATTTTTACAATAAAACCTTGATGCACGCAGTCTCACTGGGAGTAGAGCCCTGGCATCTAGGCTGTTTTATTCTGCCCTGTTAAATTGAAACAAACAATTCAGCTGCCCGAGTCCCTTCTTTTCTCCTCTGACATGCCAGCTATCTTGAGAGAAGAGATTAAGCATTGTTCTGATGAGTGCTGCAGCAGCAGCAGCAGCAGCAGCAGCAGCAGCAGCAGCAGCAGCAGCAGCAGCAGCAGCAGCTTTATAATTTAAGGGCTACATAAAATTTATGGAGCACTGAGAAGAACTTAAATCAATTTTATGATTTTCATAAATTATTTCAGGCAGATGCTTTGTGCAAAAAGCCAGTGATGTTTGAGCTGTTTATCCAATGGACAACAACATTAAAAATAGGGATTTTCAAAGGCACCTGTGGGAATTATGTATCCGAGTTTGATGGGAGTTAGAAGACTTGTTCTTTGAGCCACTTAATATTCCAGTGTAAATTTTTAATCATTCCAAATTGCTTAAAATACTTGGTAAAAATCAAAATTAGATGAGGGTCAAATTTAGAGCAAATTTGAAATTTTATTTAAATGCTTCACATGCTTTTAAACAGTGGATGGATAGCCTGTAATTCTACTTCGAGTAAGAAAATAGTCTGGCACTTGTAGAGTTAAGACTTTTCTTATGACAGTGTATTTTTTGGGTTGTTGTTTATGCCCCAGTAACTGAGGAACCTTGTTCTGTGTGCTTCATACTGTATCTGCAAATTACTCCAGCTGCTAAAGAGAATGATCTGCCTGCAGAGCAGAAA